CAGGGGAGGGTTCTCGAGGTCGCACGGGAGACTTCCAGGGAGTTTGGCTGCCCTGAATCTTGTTAGCATGAACCTGAGTTTCTGGTCAATTCTATCGGATGTGGCTTCCTCCCACCTCTACCCTCACCCCTGTGTCTATTAAAACTGAATTTACCTAATGTCAGGATACATTTGTGATTTCCTACCTTATCGTTCATCATTAGTACAAATGATTCTGTTCCTGTTCTGCTCCTTAAAAAAAAAAATAATGTTTGTGTAGTTGGTTTATGCTTATAAACCACAAACTTGTACATGTTTGTGTGTTTTGTTAGTCTATCCTTTCAGGATCATATATATATTTAATTTTTTGATACTCATTAAGAGGCAGACCTCAGGAACCCTTATTATTTTTGTTGTTCTAATTGCACTGGCAAAAATGTGATTCTGAGGAGCTGTATATCATGTCCTTCTGCCTACATACACAGAGTCTGAAAATCTGAATTTCCTTCCTCTTTCCACATCATGCTAATATTGTGAAGTAAATTTGAAAGCTTTAGATCTGCAGGATTTGAAATGCTCAGATGCTTTAAGTCTCTTGCAACTTGTATTTCCTCCTTGTTGCTCAGGTACTAAGACTTAAGACAGACAGAGTGGTTTTACCTTCACAACAAGACACAGGTATCCAAGGAAGAAAAAAAAACCTGCCTCCCAGGACTTTCTTAGCAGGCTTATGTGTGGTTGTCCCTGCAGGAATAAATGCTTCAAACTGGAGAATAACCACATGACCATGCTCTTCCAGCACCAAGTGATATCATCTGCTATTTAAAGCAAGAGCAGTTTCAGTGCAGATAACCTGCCCTCTAGCAAAGGAAGAGGGAGAAAGTAAGTGAAGGAGCACATTGCTAGAACGTTCTGTCTTTGTAGAAGGTGGATCCCATTAGCTCGTCTCCATCTCCTTAAAGCATGTCACAGATTGCGTCCACTTTGCCTCTGCCTGTGGCAGATTTTATTATGTTTTTGCATAGTTTTGGCTGTGGCTTTACATTTTGCCATGAATTCTGGGGTCCTTACTAAATGCCCCCATGTTACTTCTAACCTTCCTCAGATATATTACACACATGCATCCTTTGAAGAGTTCACCGGATAATCCCCTGACAGACAGATTCAGGGCCAGCCGGCAGTGGGACGCACTGGGTGAAAGCACATAGAATCAGGCACATGTCAATTAACTTCTTACCTGTCCATTTACTGTTTTATTTTTTGTCAAATAGGCTAGATATTTGTACCAGGTGACCCAAAACATATCCACTGCGAAAAAGCAGGAGAAGCAAAGAGCTAATCAGAGACAGAGAGGAGAAAGAGAGGGTTTTATTTTTAAGCTCCAATTTATTCCAATGAGAATAAGACTTAATTCTCAGCAAATCTGGGGTTTTTCTGTCAGCAAATTCATATTTTTTTTATTTTCCCACACTCTGTACTTGGAATAAATCCTTTTACAGTACGTTAAATTCAAAGTAATTTTGTTAAAACTTGAACATCCATCTGTGCACAAATACACATCCAGATACCTATATAAATTATAAGTAACCAATTAAATCTTTTTGCTGATTCAAATGTACTTAAAAGCAGTGCTCCTATTGTGCATGTCACATCATATAAAATATTCCAGTGAAACCTGAAATGACACCTTGAGTGCCACAGCGTTTGCATTCTGCACTCATTAAATGACTGCACTGCTCTGAAAAGTCTAATAAAAAATAGAGCTTGGCTTCTTGTTATAACCCAGTTTATTGCTTTTGTTACAGCAGCTGTAATGCGGAATTTTTATAAGGGTAAAATGTTTACTAAGCATCCCTAAATTAATAACCAGTTAATTTTGAAATTTTCTCACTTTGCCTCTTGTGAGGCTAACGAGAAATCACAGCCATCTCACAGAAACGTTCGCAGGGAGGGAGGACACTCTGCAGATCTGCCCATCTCTCCCCGGAGTAATTAGCAAAGTGAAACAATTGCAAAGCCACTGCAGAGAATGAAGAATCTTCAGTGAAATTCCGAGTGTCTCTGTAGTCTAATGCCCACGCACACCCATGCCCGCTCATTTCTTCTCTTTCCCTGGCATTTTACAATCTGCACCAACCTGGCCCAGAACCAACAGCAAGCTACATTCTTCAACGCATTTGTTTTAGATTTTAATGGTCATTTCACCTAGGCAGGATTCTTTTACAAATGTTATATCTTTTCAGTGATGTAATTTTGAAAAGCTCACATTACATAGAAAGGCTGACTTAGACACAATTGTTGTGATTCCAATCCCATCTGTACGTGGGTTTTATTTTTCAAGATCGCGTAGAAAGAACAAGAACGTAGGATTTTTAGATATTTTCTGAGCCCACCTGGAGTTATTTACCTGGAGGCTGTTAACTGCTATCCGGTGAAATTGTTTTTCTTCTCACTAACCGAGCACTGCTTTTAAAACCCACAGTACAAACCTGAATTTCCTTCTTGTTAAGAGCCAGTTTCCAAATTCCCTCCCTGCAACAAATTTGGGAACCTGTGTCTCGGGGCATGCGCCTAAGCTACCGCTTCGTTGCGTTCGCTGTTTTGCATTAGGTAAATTTTTGTGCCATACTGAAGCTGCACTGGGGATGAGTCGGTGACGCGTCCGCGTCCCCTCGGAAGGGACATTCGGTGCTGTCTCCGAAAAGAGCGCTCTGGGGGAGCAGAACTCCACATTTCCCACCCGCTGCTCCCGGACGATTTGTACAAGCGCGGTAAAAACCAACAAACAAAAACTGGAGTCCCCTGACCCTGCCTGTAACCCAGCGCCTCCTCACGCATGAAGGGGCGGGCGGTGGTGCGGCCGTCAGTCCGTCGGTCCGTTTCCAGCGTTCAAGTGCACAGCGCGCGGCACACGCAAGCTCAATCGCGAGCTCCCGCAGGAGCCTAAAACGGCCCTCAGTCCGAAATGGGAGCTTTCCTGGCCGTGATCCCGGGCGTCGGGCTTCGAACCTGGAATTTCTGAGGTGCAACTCTTAGCTGGGCGGCACTCCAGGGCTGCCTGTCCAGGGTGAACTTGACGCCTGGGCTTTTGTACCTACTTCTCCTTAAGTGGAAAGTTGACCTCTGCCAGCGAGGGGACCGCAGAGGGTCCTCCTACACGCAGCTCCCCTCCCCTCACAGGGCTAAGGTTTTGGGCAAATGGGCCTAGGGGACCCCGCAGGTACCTCATCAGCTACTTTCCCCACCCGCTCGCGCTGCATCCTCATCGCCCGGGGGCCTCAGAGTGCCCTAAGCTCCGGCAGCCCTCTCTGGCTACTTAGCAAAAAAAGTATTTGAACCGAAGCGAAAAGGTCTCCCGGCCCCGAATTCGCTTCCAGAGCGGGCGGCGCCGGGTCCTGATGCCGAGGTGGGGGCCCCACTTCCCGCAAGCGGCGTGAGAAGTCAAGCGAGGGGGTGGCGGGCCAGAGTTCGGCGTCTCTCGGGAAAGGAGGAATGGGACAGCGGGCCTAGGAGGGGGGCTCCGACGTTCCACCTGGCAAGGGGTTCTCTTTCAAATCATTTTGTGAGAAAAAAAAAAGTTATTTCCCTCCAAATCTGTAAAACAAAGCACATACAGCGTAGTGACGGCGTGCGTTTATTAGGCGCCAGAGCCCAGCAGGGGAGCATGGGGGCTGACGGGCAGCCGTGGGCGAGCAGGTGGAGCGAGGGCCCGGAGCACGAGGGACCCCAGGGCCCCGGGCTGTCCAAGCGCAGAGTCCAGACAAACACAGGCTTCCGGGAAAGACCCCAGGCCGAGGGCCCGCGCACAGGCCGCTCCCGCTCCAGGCGGCCCTGGCGCCCCTTTTCCTGTGTGCGTTCCCCCCAAACTCCAGTCGCTACCGGGCGCGACCCCGCAGGCCGCGGAGGCGGGCCGCCGGAGCCCCGCGCCGTCGGGGCGTTCCGAGGGCGGCGCGCGGTCGCCGGGCGCCCGGGGCGTCGCGCGAGGACGGCTGCTGCCCCCTGGCGTCGGGCCCGAGGCCGGAGCGGCGCGGGCGGCTCCGAGGGGCCTGCGGAGGGGCGCGGCACGGGGCGCACGGCCCCTTCCCCGCAGCGAGTCCCCGCACCGCCGGCAGAGAGCGAGAGCGCGACCCCGCGCCGAGGTGGCTCAAGTTGTGACACTCTGAGGGGAAGGCGAGGGCGCCGGCGGCGGAGTGCCCGGCGAGGGCGAGCGGGGCCTGGCGCGGGGAAGGCGTGGGCCGCGGCGGGCTGCGGGGACGGACGCGGGGGCAGGTCCCGGCCGGGCGGCCCGTGCGGGGGCGGCGAGAGGAGCCGGCACCGTTTCCGGGGAGCGGGAGGCTAGCGGCGGGGCCCGGCTTGGCGGGCGTGAGGGCAGTTGGGGAAGAGGCCGCTTGGAGAAGCGGGAGCGAGCCGAGTGGGAGCTTTCAACTTTCCCCGCAGCGTCGGGTGGCGCGGGTGGGCGTGAGCGGGGCGCGCGGCCACGGCCCGGGGCGGGGGGCAGGCCAGCGAGGGCAGCGAGAAAACTGCAAACTCAGAAAAAAAAAAAAAAAAACGCAAATGTTTGAGCCCCGGCTGGTGTCACCCGGCCGATCAGCGCCACTGCGCGGCTGCGGCCCGCCGGGCCACCGGGCCACGGCGCGGAGCTCGGACCCCACTCCGGGGCGCGCACGTCCCAAACCCCGGTGGCCGTGGCGTCCCCTCCGGCTGGCCTCCGGGCTCTCGGGGCCGGGGCCTCGGCGGCCCCCCGGGCAGGGGCCTGGGCGGCCCGGGCTGCGAGCGAGCCAGGGCCCGGGCGGCCGCCGCCTCGCCTGCCTCCCCGGCGGCGTACAGTAGCGCGCGGCGGTGGCGGGGGCGCGCGGGCCCCTCGCGCCAGCCGCGCCCCGGCTGATACCGGAAAGGCCTGCGATTGGCCGCCGGCCGCCCCCTATGCAAACGAGCTGAGGGAATGGAATTCCTCGGGCCGGGCTTACAGTAAAAGCACGTTCATTTCCAGGCACTCTCATTCATAGAGCCAGCGGGCGCGGGAGGGACGGGCGCCCCGCTGCCGGACCCAGCCAAGGGCACCGCGCTGCCCGGCCCTGCGCCGGCAGGCACCTCTTCCCGGGGCTCCTGGGGACGCCAGAAGAAAAGTCAGCCAGCCGTTGCTCTGCGTCTCTTTGGCCCTACGTTGGATCTTTTTTAAATTTTTTTTTTTAATTTTCTTCCCTCCAACCCCCCCCACCCCCTTCTTTCTTAACTTTTGAATGAACTGGTTTCTGGGGCTGGATATTTCAACTTCTTCCCTGGCTGTAAACTTCCCCTCCACACAACTCCCCCGCAGATTTGTTCTTTTGGCAACTGCGGGAAGAAAGCTTGCGAAGATACGTGTGCGTGGGAGAGGGTGCGTGCGTGTGTAACCCGAGCCGCCCGCGCTGTTTGCATCTGCGCCGCGGAGCCACCTCCCAGGGCCCCGCTCCACCTGCTGCGGTTAGGCGGTGCTCCTGGGTATTTGTGCGTCGCGGAGCCGCCGGCCGGCGGGCAGGCAGGCGCTGGGGCTGCGCAGAAGGAGGATCGTCTGGTAGCTGCCCGAGCCCGGGGCTGACTCACGCCGGCCGGTGTAGACAGTGGCCCGGCTTCCGAAGAGCGCGTGTCTGCGCGTGTGTGACTCTGCTGCTCCATCAACTCCCACGAAACCGCAGGATCAGCCACAAACTTCACCAACATCCCCCAACCCCAGTTCTCAGATGTGGAGAGCTGTGTGTCCTGAATGTCATCGACTTGGAATTTCTTTCTCCTTTATACTTTTTTTGCAGATTAGCTAGAGATCTTTGAAAAGCTGATTTTTCTGCACTGAGCGTTTTGCGAGAGACCATGACAGGTACTTCTAGCCCAACCCTGCTCCAACTACTGAAGCTGATTTTCAAGGCTACTTAAAAAAAAAAAATCTTCAGCGAACATTAATGGATTTCGGTTGTGTTTAAATTCTCTGCAGATTATGTTGTAAATATTTTATGAAGTAGAGCATATGTATATATTTATATGTGTGTGTTCACATACAGTAGAGGCACGATTTTTTTTTTTGCAACTCGCAACTCTTGCTTTTGAGAAAGGAAGCCAGTTTTTCATGACAAAAAGGGACACTGTGTATATGGAATCTATGCGTGTGCTTTGTATTCTGTCGGGACTTTAAACATAATTCACCTGCAAAAAGAAAAAAAAACAAACATACAGGCGCTTCACTCCTGGAACTTCCAAGTCGTATATTTGCCGGTCGTTTCTGCTCTCTGCATAATTTTTTTTTTCCTAAGAAGTGTATGGGAATTTTGCCCCGGGAACTTTTGTGAGCAGTCAAAGACTGAACTTGAACTCTGAAGATCAGTCTCGCTTTGGCGTCTGCGTCTGGATTCTGGTCGCCTACTTTGAAGCGCACCGAGGGGTCGGTCGCCAGGAGCCCCGCGGCCCCGTGCCCGCCAGAAGCCCCCTCCACCCCCCGGACTGGGACTATCAGTAACTCCCCGCTTGCCCCCCAGGGTCCCCGCAGCCTTCGAGGGCCCCCCCGGACTTGTATGTTGGTGTCCCGGGAGCTGCTGGCTGAAGCTCCGCGCCCCCCTCGCCGTCTAGTGGGAGCTATTTGCAGGGTCCTAACTCAATCGGCTTGTTGTGATGCGTATCCCCGTAGATGCCAGCACAAGCCGCCGCTTCACGCCGCCTTCCACCGCGCTGAGCCCGGGCAAGATGAGCGACGCGCTGCCGCTCGGCGCCCCGGACGCCGGCGCCGCCCTGGCCGGCAAACTGAGGAGCGGCGACCGCAGCATGGTGGAGGTGCTGGCCGACCACCCGGGCGAACTGGTGCGCACAGACAGCCCCAACTTCCTCTGCTCCGTGCTGCCCACGCACTGGCGCTGCAACAAGACCCTGCCCATCGCTTTCAAGGTATGGAGCCCGGAGGGGGTGACGGGAGGGCGGAGGCCGGCCGGGAGGCCAGCGGCTGAGGCTTGGGCGGGAGGGGGCCGGCGGCTAACCCCCTGCGGCCCCTCCGATGGCGCTGGAGACGCGGAGATGCTGCGTTGCCGTGGCGACCCTCGGGAGGGCGCGTCCAGGAGGGCTGGAAGTCTCCGAACGCCCCTGGAGACGTTCGCTGAGGGCCAATGGGAACTCCCCCCAAGGCGGGAGCCTTCCCTTGGATGCCCAGTTGGGACAAGCCCGCCTGCCTTCCACGCCGCGTCTCCCACTCGGGGTTAGCACACCCAGGAGCCATTCTTGCCTAGTTTAGCTGAAGGCTGCAGGAAACACTAGAGAGAGACATTTGAATACCTTCGGTCCCTGGAGATGAATGAACGAGGGGAGCTGTCAGGAAGCCCACCCACCTTCCCGCCCCCACGGCCCTCAGGCGCCCTAGACGCGCGAGCGTGGCCAAAGTCCACGGCAATGAGGTTCGCACAAGTTTTCCCAAGTTTTGCGAGCTTGCCGTCAGCTCCTGCCAGAAGCCGCTCACGCGGTGAATCCTGCTCCGTCCCGGAGCCCTGCTCTTTGCACATTCTCGGAGCTCACCTCCGCCGGGTCCGGGCCCTCCTGTCCACAGCCGGCCCGGCAGAGGAGGGGGCGGCCGAGACCCGGCGTCTCCAGCTGGACAGCTGGCGGAGGCGTCCCGTCCCCTAGCGCCGAGCCGCTTTTAAAAAGCTTGGCCTTCCACGGATATATAAACAACCCCGGGCGTTTTTAAACAACCACCCTGCTACCCTGGCAGCAAGCTGGAGGGTTTTAATTTCTGCGGTGGGATTCCTGCTTTCCCGCCTTCCACGGGTTTTACCCCTGTTTTGGGAGCTGTGTTCTTTCTTTAAGTACGATCATTGCGGTGATTTCTCGTTCATTTAAAAGGCTAATGAAGCAGGTGATTGAAGCGCAGAGATACGTTTTTTGATTGAAGCTGCAGATACTTTTTTCTTTTGAAAAAGGTGCTTGAATGCTTGTCCCTTTCATGGGAACATTCATTTAATATAAGCGTTTTCTAATTCCGGGCTTCAGTTGGATCTTGATGTGATTAGAGTTAATCATGTTCAACCTATTAAAAAAAAAAGAAGGTTCTTTTTCAGTTTTCCATACTTTCCAAACCGAAGCTGTGATTCTTAAAGCACAGGGACACACTTTGGGGAAAGGCCCTAGTGACCGTAGGGCTGCTGGCTAGGTTTTCTAACAGCGTTTGCTGGTGGTTCGGTTTGTGTGGTTTGTGTGTGGATGGGGGAGGAAGAAGGTTCCAGGGGACTGCACTGGACTCTTCCCCTTTCCCTTCCTGCAAGTTTTTAGATTTGGGTCTTGGAGCCCATTTGGATTGCAAGTCACTCTTATCCCTTTGCATAAACAGGCTCAGCTGGTGGATGTCCTGGGCTCTGGGCCCTCACCTCAGGAAGGGACCTACAGGGTTGGACCTGGGTCACTTGGAGTTGAGGGTACAGCAACAAGAAGCCCTGTGGTCCACCCCAGGGGGCTTCTGAAGTCTGCGTCCCTTAGACACCAGCCATGCCCAGGGATTCCTAGGGAGAGCAGGGTCTGTCTCTCCGGGAACTCCCTGCTCAGCCGGGAGCCCACACCCAGAGGTATCCAAACAGCAAGCCATTAGTAAGGAATCTTGTTGTAGAGTTGAGTCACTCCACAAAAGTGTTTTCTTCCACAACTGTGAAAAAAAAAATCATATGCAGTTGCTTGCATGAGCCATCAGAAATCATCATACCAGCAGGAATTTTTCCTTTGCAGACTGACTTTGGACGGTTTGTTTTTTAACAAGAGATCTGTAGTGAGATTCTGTAAACTGCCAGGGGGTCAAGGCCTAGGTCTCTGGAGACCACTGTGAGGAGAGGGAGGACAGCGGAGCAGTCAGACCCCTTGGCTGATCTCTGCCACCACCACAGTCCCTGCGGAAGACAGGCCTCTTGTCCAGCAGACCTGCTGCCTGCCTAACTGAAAGGATAGAATGTGCCAGGAGAGAGCAAAGGAGGAGATCAGAGATAAAAAGCAAGCTGGGTTTGCAAACCTGCTGGCACCCCGCATCCCCAGTGGGCTTGCCCGTGTCCCTGGCTCTCCCCTGCGCCCCTGCCTCCCTCTCCCCTCCCACGCCGCCGCCTCTACAGAACTGACTGCTTAAAACTTGGATTTTAAATAAGCTTCAGACAATCTCTTTAGAAAGTGAATCGGCAGGGAATGACAACAATCCATATCCTAAAGAAGAAAATGTGAAGCAGTGATGAAGTCTTGGGACAATGATGAGAGAGGCAGTAAAGGCCTCTGTTTAAAGGCTGCTCCAACTCTACCTGGAAATCCTCTGCTAGGATCTTCAGAACTGAAGGGAGCTTTTCAAAATTATGAGTTTTCTTTAAAATAGATTAAAATCATCCTAATTACTTATCCTGGACCCCAACCTGCCACCCCCACCCCAGCTCCCTCCTATGGAATGCTATTATGTTCGTCTGGGAGAGAGCTACATATTTTTGCTACTGGGAAGATGTTAAACTTAGTACACGTTACCCATTGTTTACAGAAGTAACTTAAAAACTGCTTGGATCGCTTCGGATAGATTTTGTAATGCTGTACTATTAGTTTGTTTGGCACTGTTACACCAGGGTCCAAAGACATAAACATTGCCTTCGGCAGTGAAGTTCGGTGACCTTGGGTGCTCGTGGTAATATTCTGTTCATAAGAGAAGAAACAGGTAACATTTTGGTGTGCAGGATCAAGATCCTTAGCTATGCATTACATGTTATCTCCACAGATGCCGTGTTCCACTCCGCAGCCTACTTTGAAACACTGCAAGATTAAGAGATTTAAAGTAAATGAATTGTAACTGTAATGTCAGCCTAATTAGGCTCGCTTTAAAACGCCCATGTAAACTCTGAGCGGCCTGGGCAAAGAATGGCTTTGGGAGATGTGTGCAGGCAAGTGGCCACTGTACTCAACTTCCTGATACTTGAAAAACAGAGAAGTAAAACAAAATATGAGATATCTTGGGCCAACAAGTCCCTTCTTGTCTGTTTGGTCTGTGCTACAATGTAAATGTTTGTGTTCCTTACCTATTGTTTATAGCTTTTCATTCCAGTTGCTGCCTTTTTCTGTTTGAAGCTGCATATGTTTTCATTCTCTTCATGCTTTCTATCAATGACGAAATCTATACTGAATAATGTTTAATTAGTTAAAAAATTTTAACTTGGCTCAAGTATGCTAGCCCAGGGTAATAATTGGATGGTATACATTATAAATTTAAGATCCCTAGATTTAGTATGTCCCCATCTTACCTCACAGGAAAATCGCTCAGAAAGAAGTAAAAAACTGAGTGATATTTGATAATGTTTGAGCACCCACTGTCTGATTCCTGCAGAAATTGACTTTTGTTGTTTTTTAAATGGGAGAGGTGAGAGTTAAACTAATTTGTAAAATATTTATTGTTATGAAACAACAACCTTTTCTTATTTAGCCACCATAGGTTTTATGCTGTTTGGTAGAGGTCTCAGCATCTGCCCAGTGGCGCAGTCGCTGTGCTGCAAAGCGGAGAAGCACAGACCTGGAGCGCATGGAGGGATAGGAAGGTGCTTCCACATGGAATCTGGCAGTTATAAAACAAGATTTACTGATTTTAGCCTCTGCGGAATCAGTCCCAACAATGAGTTATTCAACTTGAAAACCATGCAGTTGATCCAGTCCCTGTAGGTTGCCTTAAAATAGAGAAGCAGAGGTCACCAGACAAAGAAGGGGATGAGGAAGTAAAATTGGTGTTGAGAGAGGACATTTCAACACTGTGAGCTGTTCTAAAGGGAAGCAAAAATAGCGGGAAAAAAACAGGGAGAGTTTTTCAGACTAAGAAGAGCAGAATAAAGCAAGCACATCTTGCAAGACTAAGAAGAAGAGCTACTGATAATCAAATAACCGATCCAGGAAGATTCGTTTCAGTAGTGTCATTTGAAACAAAGGGGAATAGTCATCCTATTGCATTTAATTAAATGGCAACAAACACCCTTATAATGAGATCTAAATACCTAATTAGGGGGTGCCTGGGGAATAAATAGCAGTGTTTGAAAAACTCCTTTACAGAAAACATGTCCAACAATTGGAACGAAAGGATTAAAAAGAGATAAAAGGCCCAGACCTTGTTTGACAATGCAGTTTGGATAGAACAGATGAAGAAGATGCCACTTAATACCACTAGTGTAGACCATCCTAATGTGGTCCACGAGGATCCCCTCCTGGGGCTCATCAAGCTGGTTCATTTGCTCTGCCCTGCACCGAAGCACCAAAGCAGGAGTCATTGGGAGACACAAGAAGGGGTCATGACTAAGCAGGCATGAAGATCGTAATATTGAGAAACATACTTTTGATATCATCCTACAAGTGAATCTGTAGCAGGCTTATTTGCATATAAAAAGAAGGCCTGAATATATTTGTACTATAAAAATATGATGTGGCAATTACTAGGTGAAAATTAGGAGGTAAAAACAAGGGTGGGAATATTAAAAATAGATGAAGAAATACTAGTTCAAAAACAGCAGCAGCCAAAATATGATTATGTCATTGGAATGATAACACAATTTTCACCACAACTGAGGAAATATCATAAAGGAGATCAGAAATGATAAGGAACAAATTCAACTCGGGGCAATTTGACTTCAAATTCTGTAGCCACTTTGCAAAACAAATAGTGGAAATACTGCCAATAATGAAATGGCTAGATAAAGGAAATAGTTTCTGGAAGAAACCAAATGATCACCAAGACGTGGAAACTATTACAACAAAACATTTTCAGGGTATTTCAGTGAAATTACTAGTGTTTTTATTACCTGAGTATCAAAAAGATTCATCTTGCTGTTTTCAATAGTATAATAGGTATGTCTATTCTATTACATGAAAAGATTTCCTTATCATTCCTTTGGATAAACTCTGACTCATGCGTCAGAACACGGCTAACACATCTTTGAGACTCAGATAGCAAAACGCAGCTAATTTCCACCCAGGAAATGAGGGGAGCACACAAAAAGCAGATTGCTCTTTTCTGTGAGATCTGTAGATTTTTTTGATTAGTAATACACAAATGGTACATTTCTGGTTCCCCCAGCCTCTCCCCAGCCCTGCCACCTACAGGTCCTGCATTGCTGCAATGCACTGCTAGTGAGTATGGGGGGATCACAGAACTGCAAGGGGCCAGCTTAAGTCACTCAACAGTCGTCACCAAAGATCAAAGTTAATTTGAGCAGAAGTAAGTTGGAACACTTAGAAGTGTGGGCTCTGGTAGGCTTATCCATGGAGGTCACAGCAAGTGAATGAAGGGTTAGGTTTATAAACTTAACAAGCACAAGGCATTCTACGGCTTGAATGTGAGGAACTAACGAGAGATGATTGGAGGAGAGAGACAGCTCTTCAGAGGCCTTGTGGTGCTCAGTTGCATTCTGACTGTGAGGTATACCTTATGTGACTCTATTAGGAAAGCCTAGTCAAAGTTTCGCTATTTGAAAAATTATATTCAGTTACCCATGATGGAATTAAAGTGGATCTTGCCATACGCAACTGCCCTGTTGTTAGTTCTGCAAACTAGAAAATGTCATTTAATAGACATGGAGTTTGGGAGCAACTACTGCACAAACAGCAGGAAAGGGTATGCAACGTGTCCCTGATGTCTGCATTTGTCTCCTGCTGGGGTCTAGGTGGTGGCTCTGGGGGATGTCCCAGATGGCACTCTGGTCACCGTGATGGCTGGCAATGATGAGAACTACTCAGCAGAGCTGAGAAACGCCACCGCAGCCATGAAGAACCAAGTTGCAAGATTTAATGACCTCAGGTTTGTCGGTCGCAGTGGGAGAGGTAGGTGTTTACCAACTTTAACGTGATACCAAACTGTTGACATGCCGCTAGCTTCAGCTGCAGGACTGCTAGAAGTTTCTGTGACGTGATCCCCAGAAATGCCGTGTTATTGCTATTGCTGTGTCGAGCTTTTTGAGAGTTACATGAAGTGTGGCATTTTTAGCAGAATCTTACATTCCATTATTGCTTTCTATTACTGAATTGCTGTACAACATACTTGGAACATGCAAAACATGAATTTCAAGAAAACTAAAGGCTTTTTTTTTTCATTAATATATAAAAATATAAAACTTATGAGAATGGAACCTGGGATTATACTGTTGTGGTCCTTAGTTTATGATGAAAAAATGTATTTTGCGGAGCCCTTTCACTTAGGATCCACGTGCTGTGACAAGGGTCAGTTTGAAGCGATCGCTTGCGATGGTTCCTGGAGCTCTGAGCTAATGTTGATACATGGTTTCAGGCATACTTAGCACTGTAAGACAAAATATGAGGAAATAGTGTTAGTGCCACGGATGGCAAAATGATCTTCCTGCTGTATTTCTTTTGAAAGCTTTATAATTATTTAAGGGAAATGGCTGGGCCCAGTTAACATTTTAGATATTGACATCATGGGGCTGGTTCACCCAAAGGAACTGTTGTATTAGTTCAGCCCTATGTGTAGTTTTATATTTCTCGTCCGTAACCCATTATCACAATTTAGAGTAGAAAGAGGATGTCTTGTCTCATTGTAATAATCCCTGGTTTCCAATTTTTTTCAAGTAGTCTGTGTTTTTCTGTTGTAAGAACCTAAGTTGTATTTTATAAACAGCAACACTAAAAGTGTAGTTGCGGGAGGTAGGACAATTTGTTTTGAAAATGTTATTTTTGTAATGTGCTACTGGATGCCTTATGAATTAAAGGTATTTCAAGTTTAATGGGAAGATTTTTGATGTATAAATAATGGTAATAGCTTTTGCATTTGAAATTAAAGACCAACTAAACAGTTAACATAAGGACAATCATAACATATTTTAAATGCCTTTATCTGAAGTAATCTGATTGTTCTCAGGGATTAGCAGATGTGGGGAAGTGGCTATATGTGTTAATGCTTTCAGCTGTTTGGAGAAAGTAAAAATTTTATAACACGACTGAAAATATATATTCCTGGTATTGTGTTGATAGTAGGGTCATGTCGAGAAAACTATGCCACTTATCAAAATCATGAATGAGGCTATAAAATACCAAATGTATATTATTCATTTTTTACATTAAAAATCCCCTCCTTTCATAAATGGGTTTTGCATTATAATTCGAGAAGCGTGTAAAACGTCGTAAAGACTTCAGCTGAGCAGCTGGCGAAGTGAGCCCCAGTAGCCAAGGCCTCGCCCCTGGCCCATGCCCGCCCGCCTCGCTCACAGGCCTCTATGACTTCTGTGGATTTTGACTGTCAGGTGGCGAGTATCATTTGGTCATTTTTCCTAAGGAAACATAATTATCGTAATAGCGTGCATCTCTGTGGATCTATGTGCCAGGTTTGGGTTGCACACATTTTTGAAAGGTTTTTCGAGCCTGTGCTGGTAACGTATTTTTCCCATAAGAAGTTCAGCAGTGACCTGCTGGCAGTGTGCAGTAAGTCAGTGATGAAAAAGAATGGGATTTTGAGAGCAGCGTGCTTCCTTTTCTGCTGTTGAGGGCTATTCACTCACCCCTTATTGGCCATTTCTGTTTTGAGTGGCTGACTAATAGATGCTTGTGTTTGCTTGGGTAGCAGTGGACTGTTTCCTCAAGGTGGGGAATGTTTGCGTTTGCTTGCTGATTCATGCCAGGGTGCCCTTGAGTTTGCATAAACCCCCAAAAGTAAAAGAGTTGCAAGTAGGGCAAGACTGTGTTCAAATAGCCCAGAGTGGGAAAATTAACTGAAGTGTCATAAATGGACAGGGTTTATTTTGTACAGTCTGTCCTTCCCACTGGTGCTGATGCGCACACCTTTTAACCCAATTACGGTTACTGTGGACAGGATAGTGGTCTTGACTGATGGATATCTGTTTTTGTGCTTGTTTATTTGGGGTGGGGAACGGTTTCTGGTCAGAGCTACAAGAAAATGAGTAAGGAGGCTGAGGTTTGACTCTCAGAATTTCTCTCCAGCATTATAAAGTACAATATGTTTTTGCTTGTTTAAATGTCAACATCAAAGCCTGCCAGATTTCTCTCTCTCTCTCTCTCTCTCTCTCTCTGTTCTCTCTCTTTTTATTTTTGCAATTTGCTTCCCATTAGGGAGAGAGCAAATGATGCTCGCTAATTTTGACAATTAGTCTTAATCTTCTTCACTGAATCTTATCCTTTAAAAGTTTCATCATGTTTTATTAAGTGATCTTAAGACTATCTGCTGCTGCATTTTCTGCTTTTGAAAATGCGCCTGAGTGTATGGGCCAGAAGGTCTTGGGTCCTGGCTCACCCCCACATTTCAATGCCAAGTTTGAATCCTACCAAAGCCCCTGGTCTGGTGGACTCTCAGAGGGGCCCGGTACTTGGTGAGAAATGAAAGATGGGAAAAGAAGCTTTCCTAACTTTTTTTCTTAAAAAAAAAAAAAAGAAAACAGTTACCAGTCCACAGGGATCATAAACCTCATAGAAACTGCCAGACGTTGAAGATGGGGAAAGTTTTTTTCTGGCAAAGCTGATCTGTCTGGGTGCTGGCAGATATCCAGAATCACAGCTTCTAACCCCGGGTTCAGCCCACAACTGGGAAAACCTGCCTGTCCAGCTCTCAAGGCCTTGCTGACAACGCTGGCCCCTAAAAATACGGACGGCCTCAGCTTTCCTCCCATTCCTTCCTGTTTCTCCCTGGCAGTTGAAACCTCGCTTACTCTGCTGGGGTATTTCTCACCCTTGGAATGTCTCTCCCTTTGACCTGGGCTCTTGGCTCTTCCTGTAAACTGACTGTGCCTTGCAGGGAACAGATAGAAGCAAGCTCCCAGGAGATGTTATGGAGACTGACCAGACTCTAAAGAGTACAGCAGTGGACATGGGGTGGCTCCGCACAGTTCATGTTCTGACCACGTGACCTGGGACTGTCAGTCACCTGCGGAAATCCCAAGCCCTGGGTCAAAAGGAATTCTCTGGGTGAGATTAATATGTCAGCAATTTATGGATGCAATTGATACAGGTGTACTGGTGTTTTCAGTGCTATGAGAAAGTGTATCAGGCCTTCACAGAGAAAACAGTTAAGACATTCTAGCAGGGAGATTTAATCAGGTGGAAAGAAATTAATCCATCAGTGAATACAGCTTTAATTATTTCATTTTAGAATCAAAGGAAGAATCTGCGAGACAGTGTCATCAACCACCTTGTAAATAAGGCAAGGGAATCCACTGCAGATTTCCCTCTACAATTTTTTTTTTTTTAAGAATGTGACTTTTTATTCTTTGAGAACATAGTAGATAACCTTGAAAATCCTCAGCAGGCCCTTTCGCGAGGGGACGGGGAATGAGCATGCGTGCACGTACACCGCTTTTCAAGTGTAATTTCCATTACCATGCCTGCCTGGAGTTTGTTGGGATCCACAGGTCCCAAGTCAAGAGGCTGTGGATTTAGAACCTTGCACTGACATTTAAGCAGCACAGGCTGGACACCTGCAGAACAAACAAGGGAGACTTTTTCTTGCACCACGTGTAGTGGAACACCTGTTTTGGTTACAGCTGGAACCTGGTTTTGTGTGATTAGAAATAGATTCCGTTCGGGCCACTAGTCCAAGCCTGTGGAGGGCTCTGATTCAGTCTCGGAGAGGATAGACGCCTCGCTGGTGTACACATGAGCCCTGCCTGCAGAGCTCAGCCCTGTGAGCGCTCTGTGCCCTGTCAGGACCAGATTTAATTTCTTGGTGGAGTTTGTGTTTATGTTGACCTCCCTGGCAACTTTAGTCTTGCCCGCTTTCAAAATACTACCCTTTCCCAATGCTTTCATAAAATGTAATTCCTTCATTACATTTTTTGCTGTGGATGTCTTCCCAGACATAATATTTACCCTGTCCCAATCTGGGTTATTGCATATTTGTATAATGTTGCTTACTTAAGGCATTTTCATTTTTAAGTTGTTTTTCCGTTATTTGGAAAACAGTAGGGGGAGGCTGCCTTTCAGACGAGCGGTGGGGCTGTGGTTGAGACGGAGAGGAGGTGCCTTTAGAAAACGAGAAACCAGGGATTTTAAACAGAAAGAGACACGTCTTGATGAAGCGGGGTTTCCTGAGACGGGTCTGAATGACTCAGAATATTATCATAGAAGGCGAGTCATTCTGTGTTCGATCACAGACTCATAAAGTCGGGGAGGAGATGGTCATGGGCCAACCTCAGGGTTGTCTCCTGGATGATATTCACCATGTGAACTGGAAATCTTGTCTCTGGAGGAGGCAAGGGAAAGACATGCATTCTCTCCAAACAGACTCTCCCATTCCTCTCACCTCCCCCTCTTTTTTCTCTGATGTTTAAGTGACTTTCTCTTCCACCACCACCCCCGCCCTTTTTTTTTTTTTATTCACTGCTGTTTTAGAGATCGAACATGGACAGGAAAAGGCCTGGGCCCTGGTGTAGTCAGCCTGGGCGGGTCGTTCCTCTGATGGCAGGTCCAGACCTTGGCGGCTGTGCCAGTGGAGAAGTCGGCAGCAGGGGTCAAGTTGCTCCTTCTGTTCCCCGTCTGCCCATAAGGGAATAGCAACACCTTCTTCAAGCGTGTTGCTCCGTTGCCCTGCCGAAAGCCTGGAGTGACCCAGTGGTGGCAAGGACCAAACAGAAGAGCTGTCTTGGAAACGGCTTGTGCCTGGAACGTGCACCGTTTTGTCGTTTATCCCTTTGTGGTTTTCTTGCTGATTTTATGAAGTGCTGGGTGCAGCTGATGGTGTCAGCTTTTTGTCACTAAAGTTATTTGTGTGAACAGTTATTTCACAACTGATGGGTAGCATGCCTTCCGCTCCGCACCAGCCCTCAGCCCCCTGCCTGTGCAGTCGGCTTCTCTTGCTGGAGTCT